ATTACCTCTCGCCCTGGCTCGCCTCTTCGCTGAGGGCTGAACCGGGGGCTCCGTGCGGGGCTGTGTGCCTGGCTTCCAGCGCAGGGTTGGGAAGCCCCTTTCTGTTTGATGTATGTGCTGCCTGCGCAGTTCTTGGCCTCGCAAAACGTTTGTGTTTTCACCACGTAAATGTGAGCTCAGCTGAGAGGAGCACTCCTCAGAACTGTACAAAAAGACTGTCCCGACAAATTTCATAGATTCATAGATTTCTAGGTTGGAAAAGACCTCAGAGATCATCGAGTCCAACCATTTCTATTCTTTTCAGCTGCGTTTGCCGCAGCTCTCTCCTTCACCTTAATTTTCTGTGCTCCCTTTTGTTGGAAGGAGACATCTGACTCTCTTGGTTTCCTTTGTAGTGGTCAGGTGCCAGCTCTACTCGCCACGGCGTGCTCTCCAGGTCTCAGCCGTGCTGAGGAGAGTCTCCGATGAGCAGAAAAAGGAGCCGTTGGCATCTCCCTCTCAGCAGCAGTTTGATTCACATCCAGCCGATCACCAGCCTGAACAGGAACCTCAGGGCCCTCGCCCCAGGTAACTCAGTAGCTATTTCTAGCACCGTCCTGCTGACAGCAGGATCAGAAGGCTTGGCTTTCCTGAAGCTCGCATCTGAAGCTCGGAGACGAGATCCAGAGTTAATGGAGCCTCAGACTATAGCAGCTGGATAGCCAGTTTGCTCTGACAGTACAAATTCCACTGTCTGCCATGGAGACAGAATGGGACTTGCTTTCAAGAGGGAACCTCTCTGGTCTGCAAAACGCAAGCTTTCTCTTCTGGATTTTTGTGTAAATCTACACAAAATATGGACAATGCGTTGTCCGTATGCCTATAACTATAAAGTCCCTGTTAGAAAAGCTTGTAGTTCAGCTTTTTTTTAAAAGAGGGGGAAAGTGAGGCTGAGTGTTCTCCAGGTAGGCACCTAGGTTGAGCCCTTCCTTATCCTTCTCTTCTCCTCTCATGGCAAAGGCTTGTTAAGAATCCTTTTTCTGAAAAGGGAAGGATTTTACAGGAGGAGGTGAGATTTATACTAAGCAGATCTCAAAGCGTGCCTGCACACAGTGGTGGCAGCGAGCGAGTGGCAGAGTCCAGGTTGCTGATGTTTGATGGTGACGTTCCCCTCACTGTAACAATACCTTCTCATAGTTACACTGGCCAGGGCGGCCAGGAGTCTGAGGACTATGAGAGCGAGGAGCAGCTGCAGCATCGAATCCTCACAGCAGCGCTGGACTTTGTGCCTGAACATGGCTGGACTGCAGAAGCCATTGCAGAGGGAGCCAAGGTATGTGGGGAGAGAAGCAACAAAACAGCTGAAAACTGGATGGAGCTGAAGTCCAAAGACAGCCAGGCCTGCATGCTTCCCCCACATACTCTTGGGCGATGCGCCCTAGTCAGCAAATGGTAGCGGGCAGGAATGCTACTATAGGATAACCCTGTCAGAGCTAAACGAAGGCACGACGTAGAGTAGTGATCCTAAAGAGAGGAAAACATGTGCAGGAAGCGCTTTTTAATGCAGTGTTGCTTTGTCTAAATTCATATACCTTTGTTCACGAAATAAATAGAACATGTTTCCTTGTTCGATCCTGCTTAGCAGTGTATGACCTGGTCTGTGCTTCTCCCTTCTTCCCTGCAGACCCTGGGCCTCTCTGCTGCCGCCGCAGGGATGTTTCACAGTGATGGCAGTGAACTGGTCCTGCACTTTGTCTCTCAGTGCAACACCAAGCTGTCTGACCTGCTGGAGCAGGAACAAAAACTAGTGCAACTGGGCGAAGCAGAGTGAGTATTGGGTATGAAAAGACATCCTCCTTGGCAGACTTTGGGGACTGGATAGAGAGAGTGGCCATGTGGGACACAGATACTTTAAGTAAAAATAAATAGTACCCAAATAAAACCACCTTCCCAGATACTGAGTTGGACCAGAGGCACAAAGGATACATACTACTTTGTGTATCTGTTGCTGAGGCAGGCAAGATATTGGTCTTTTCAAGTTCAGAATTGAGTTTAGCTTGGATGTTCCTCATATTTGTATTTTGTTTTCCTCACCCAGGAGGAAGCCTACAGATCAATTCCTGAGAGATGCTGTGGAAGCCAGACTGAGGATGCTGATTCCATATATTAAGAATTGGCCCCAGGTAGAAAATGAGTATCAAAATTATCTTTTCTTTTGTGTATATTTAAAACACTCTGTGGCCTTCAGCATATTCTCTCCACCAGAATAGTTCAGGGTTGTAAATGAAACCCTCCCTGGTTTCACATGATTCATGTGAATCATACTCAAGAGGAGAGCACCCTTAGAGGAAGGCAGTTAAAGGTGTCCTTAGAACAATGATTTCTTGCAGTTCTGGAAAGGCAAACTTCCATTGCTCATTCCACCCACCTGGGATCCCCAGGGATAACCTGTGTCTCTGCTCCGTCATGTTCGCAGTGTCACTGCAAGTCAGGCTCCGTGCAGCGCTGTTACGGTTGCGCTGGTGTCATTCGATGCCTGGAAAGGCAGAACTGCTGCTTTGTTGCAAGAAACTGCCTGCCCAGAGGGCGAATGGCAAACCCTTGGCAACCTGAGGAGAGATCTGTGAACTGAGAGGGCTCCGTCCTTCAAAATCCAGATTTAAGTTCTGTGGTTTAGCCCAGCTGGCAACTAACCGCCATGGCAGCCACTCGCTCACCCTCCCCCATGCTGGGCAGTGAATAGGGAAGAGAATTAAAGGGGAAGAGGGAAGGAGACTTGTGGGTTGAGATAAG